AAACATATAGACTGAGTTTTTCAACTGTCAGCTTCCCATAAAATCACCATGATAACACATTAATGGACTAGGATTTATTACTTGCTAATATCCATGAAACTAACATTTTAGAAATTCAGAGCATCTGAAAAGAGGTGATTTGTGTTCTATATTAGTTATTTTCCACTCGGCTACGACAAAATATCTGTTAGAAACGAACTTAAAGAAGGAAATGTTTGGTTCTGTTCACAGCTAGAGTGTGCAGCCCATCATGCTGAGAAAGACAAGCTGGCAGGAGTGAGGCCCCACTCACCTTGCGTCCACCGTCAGGAAGCAGAGAGGGATGAGTTCTTGCATCCAACAGTTTCTCCCGTTTCATTTGGTCTGGCCCATGAGTTCGCCTCACCCAGGGCAGCCCTAATAAATATGGTCAGAGATTTGTCTTCAAGGTCATTCTAGATCCATTCAAGTTTATAATTCATACAATCGCAATTCCATCCCTGTGTGTTTGACTTCACACATATCAACTTTAAGCTAGTATATGCTACGTGTTGTCTTCATAGGCTCATAACCAATCCCATAATGCAAAATGCATTAAAAAATTACCATCGACTTACCATAGTCTAACACTGTATAAACATTCAAAGTAAAAGTGTCTTCTGAGACTTAACAGCTATAAATTCAAGAACAAGTTCCATAGTTTCAATATGCAATAGCACAGAATAAAGATCCCCATTCCAAAGGGGCGGACTGGAGAAAGAACAAGAAAAAAAATCAGACAAAGGCAAGAAGCAAAACCAACAGAACAAACTCCAGATCCTTCAGACTTATGTGTGCTCCAAAAGGGTTTAGGTAACCCCTTTGCAGCCTGGCTCTGCTGACTCCATCGTGTATAGCACCTCTCTGGGGCAAGCTCCCAACTTCTGTCATACCTGCATCATGCCTTGGTAGACCTCCCATGTTTATGCTACTGCTGACATCCTGGTGTCTACATTTCAACTTAGAAATTTTCTCCATGGCTTCATATGATGCCCCCACAGCCCATCCCCCCTGCCCAGTGCCTCCATTCAGAGAATCTGGAATACATGACTGCCTCAGATCCTTTTGGGAGCTTTGTGTTTACCTCCACGATCCACTCATTCTTATATATTTCATGTCTATCAGACCAGAACCTCATTGATGGTGATGCTATATTCTGCTGCCACGATGACCTTGTAGGCTAGGCCCCATTGGACAAAAGTGACATCTGTCTGCTTATGTGGCTGTTTTGGAGCAGGTGACATTTTCGTTCAGACACTCTCCTTTCAAATAGCTTTCTTCTAAGTTAGAATTTTTAACTGATGAATGCTTACTCTCAGGAAACTATTCCTATTGTCTGCAACTTTGGATTTGCTCAGACTTCATTCCTAGGAAACGTTACTTTTTTAAAATTTCTCTTTCTTCTATCCCACTATAGATATTAATAAAAACAGTTAATAGTAGCCATGCCACAGGCTGAATGAGATGATATTTTCATACTTCCTCTGCCAAATAATTAGTCCACTTCTTCGAAATTTAGCTTCAGACAAGTTCTCAGAGCATGGGCAGATTTTAATTCAGATTCTTTGTCTATATGTGCAAGAAAGGCTTTTAGCCTACTTCTTCATAAATTCCTTGTTCCCCTTGGAAATCCCATAAGCCAAGCCTCCGCTGTATTTCTCTTGCAGTCTGGTCTTTCAGATTACTACCAGATGGCCTGAGAAGATCGGCTTAAAGTAGTCTAGGGCTTTTCTAGTTGAAAGTTCAAATCTCTTATGCCTTCCTCCTGGAAACCTACTCCAAAGGCCTGTAGATGATAGCATCAATTTATCACAGCCATAGTCCCATTTCTCAAGCCAGCTTTCTGCATTACTATCCTCATTGCTGAATCACAGAGCCTGAAAAGAGCAATTTACAAGAGGAAAAGTTTATTTCAACTTGCATTTCATATCCATCATGGCAGAGAAGGTGTAGTGGTAGGAACGGAAGCTCTTCCGGACACCTGGTCAGAGAGAAGGGAAATAGGAATTCCTGTGTGCAGTTAACTTTTAACTTTTTATGTAATCTTAAACACACGGAATGATGGGTCCTCACAATTCTGATTAACCTCACCTAAGAAAATCCCTCAGTGACTTTTAGACCCTGTAAATGTGACAAGCAATGTAAGCCCTCCCTGGTTGATGCGAGTCTTTTTAGGGACTAGAGTTTACATAGCCAGGGCAGTTGTTTCAGTGTGAAAATCTGATTGTTAAGGCACATTTCATGCAGTTTTACAACTGAGTCATTTCCTAGGCCTGCTTGTCTGGGATCATAATGTTTGTACCACATTCAGAACAAAATTTTGTGAAATGCTTGCTCCCAGCTTGAGGTGGAAGATACAAATTACAGGGTTGCATTTACCTGAACAATCATAAACGAGGATATACTGGTATGTATTTGTTTTTAAGACATTTTATTTTTATGGATGCTTTATCTGTGTATATGTCTGTGCACTGTATATGCAGTGACCATGGAAAGTAGATCCTTTACGACTAGAGTTACAGGTAGCTGGGAGTGCCATGCGGTTGTGGTGATTGAACCTGGGTCCTCTGAAAGAGAAGAAAGTACTTTTCATAGCTGCGTTATCTCTCCAGCTCCTGCTGCATATTTCTTTCTGTAACTCAAATTTTAGGTGAACAAAAAACAAAGAAGCAAACAAAAAGGAACGGGCCTATGTGACAGTCATTTATTTATGGGTGTTGGAGACTGAAAATGCAAGCTCTTAGGAAGTGGGACGGGTGGTGGGGTGGGGTGGTAGAGGTAGACATCAAGCTAGCCTAACAAATATTTTCCTTTTAGAGAACTGATTGAGTTGAATATGTGTTTAGGTTAATTGACTCTTAGAATTCAGGAAGCTGAAAAGAAGGAAACATTATTTAATCAAGATACTGTAGAGGAGTATGTAAAGCTGTGTTTTAAGGTGCTTGAAGCACACCTAGCCTAATCTTCCCATGCTAAGACATGAGCCACTCATAGTTCACTGTGTAATATCAAACAAGGAATAAGGTGGTTTAGAAATGCTTTGCCACGATGTTACTTATTAATCTAGCCAAGAGAAGTTGTAAAAGGAACGGCTGGATCCGCTGGTGATTATAAGTCAAACAGCAAATCAGCAAAACAATGAATACAGACATTAAATACAGATATTAAATGGTTTTGTATTATTTCATGAGATCTTTGTTCCATATTGAGGTAAAGAATTACACATTGATTAAAAAATGAAAGCCTTTCCTCTAATGAAATATAAAGACCAGGAGGAAAAATTTGTGGGTATGGCATGAAGAGCTAACATTATTCACAAATCTCAAGTCCAATTATCCAGCAAAATTGAGTTTAAAATAATCAGTGTTAAATGTAGTCCTTATCTTCTCAAGATTCATTTCCTTCTACCTTGGTTCTAAGAGAAATAATGACTCATATTCCCACTTCTATCCTTAGTAAAAAAAAAAAAAAAATCCTTCATACCTTACCTATGGTGTTCTCTGTCTATGAGAGACCATATGGCATGAATTGCATTCTCTCCTTCTTTCATCCATTGGCCTAGGACTGTTCATAGTAAAAGCACGCCATCAGAGCTGCTTTATCTTTAGGCCCTCAGCATGGTTGCATATTCACCGCACTGCTGTGTTTGCTGTCAGAGAGGAGTCCAAGGATTTAGAGCTGTGTTCATCTCCGTATATTTTCTCTGTGATGAAAGAGGAGTGTTTGCAAAGGTATCGGCTTGATAACACTGCAATAAAAGTGTGTATAGGCATGATTTTTGAGGACATGCAATTTAGTTCTTCCTACTAGTCCATGATGATTTGCTCATGAAAATCAAGGCGTCCAGAGTAGATCTATCAAGGGGAAAAACATTGAGTGGGATGAGAGTAAGTTTATTTAATCAAGTTGATGGTCATTGAGAACAGAAAAATCAGAGATCAGATCAGTGAATAAGACCAAATGAGAGATAAGTGTAGCCTGTCCTGCTTTTTACAGTTTGGGCAAGGGGGGAATGAGAAGAGAAGAAAGAAATAGAAAACACCCGGATGCTTAGTCTTAATGTAAATATGTCATTTGCTCTACATACCTACACTGTTGACAGGGAAAGTGAATGCTATCAGAAGTCAGTTATTGGCATAGAATTGCAGAAACTAAGGAAACCTGTGGGGCATTTTCTTAATTGATGATTGATGTTTCCTGGGGGCCAGACAATTGTAGGTGGTGCCATTCCTGGACTGCCCACAGGCCAATCTGAGGGAGGCTCTTCCAAAATAGAAATCACCTCTTCCCAACTATTGTTAGCTCCATATCAAGTTGACAAAAATCAATTAACAAATATATAAACTTGTAGCTTTTTTGAAACAAAGTAATTATTTCAAATAAAGACCATCCTCTAAAGTTGTTAAGATAGATTGAAAAGTATGGTAGCAGCCGTAGTGATTTTGATCTGTGCTTGTACAAAACTAGTAAAACACCAGAGAAAATGTTCTCTGACCCAAAGAGGTTGCAGTTGACTGGGAATCACATGAAGACAGAGGGCTGGAAAGGAGCCCAAGCCAACAAGAAGGCAGTTCTGTATGGGATGACTTAGCATTGGGATGTGACAGTTAATCGGCAGCTCTTATAAGTTAAACATTGCGTTGTAGATAAAAAGAAGAATGGCTTAAGTTGGAGGCTGAGGGTGTTCTTTCTGTCTCCTTCCTTTCAAATTAGGTGGCACACTGCCTATATTTTAATTAATTTTCCTTTGTTAAGCCATGAAAATGAGGAGCCTTCTCACTAACCCTACATTCATTGCACAATGAAGCTTGTTTTGGGCAGGCTCCCTGATATTTCCAGAGGATTAATGTGAGCCAAATGTAGAAATCTGCTGGGTTATTGAAAGCTGACAATGATGTGTGTTTCCAATGCACATTTTCTCCCTTACAGATGTGAAATAATCTTGATGCGTTTGCCAACTGTAAATGTCTTTGTTGTTGCAGATACAGACGTGGTATATAAAACTGACACCGGAAACGTCATTAAACTGAATACAGAAACAAATGCTACCACATTGTTATTGGAAAATACAACTTTTGTAAGTAATGAATGATTGACTATATGCTTCATCCCATTGCCCATCAGCACTGTCTCTTTCAGTACTTCCATATCTGTAACTCAGTTCCAGTACCTGTACAGCATTTCAGGTAGAAAACTGAGAGTGGGGTATCATTAATTTGCGATAATTTGCTCTTCTCTCCTGTTGCATTTTATCTACTGATAGGTAGTTGCAGTTTGTTTCACACTATGCTGAGTTTCCCAGCACATTTACTGTAGAGCCATCTTTTCCTGTGCAATGTTTGTTCTTGGTACCTTAGCCATGGAGAACTGTCAGTGGTTCCAGAGTTTATTACTGGGTCCTCCATTCCATTTTCTTTCTTTTTTTTTTTTTTTTTTTTTTTTTTGTCAGTGCCACACTGGTTTGGATGTTGCTCTGTATGATGATTTGAGAGTGGGTACCCAATGCTTCTAGCATAGCTCTTGCTGTTTAAGATTGCTATGCATTTGTTCCTCTTTTGTGTTTACACAAACTTTAGGTTTGCTTTTTCTTCTAGTCTTCTGAAGAATCTTTTGGGATTTATATGCTGACTATACCAAATCTGTAATGGATGTAACACATCCATTTTTACAGTTTTAATCCTGTAATCACAGTAGCCTTGTCCGTATTTAGTGTCTTTTCAATTACTTTCTTCTAAACTTTGAAGTTATATTGTAGCAGTCTTCCACCTCATTCATTAAGTTAATTACTACTTTTATTTTTAAGCAAATGTGAAAAGCTTTCTCTCTCTCTGTGTCTGTGCTGTGTGTGTGTGTGTGTGTGTGTGTGTGTGTGTGTGTGTGTGTGTGTTAGAGGTTAACATCAGATGTCCTCTTCCTCATTTTTTTCTACCTCTCAAGATGGGTTCCCTTCACTGAACCCAGAGCTCACCTCATCTCAATACTCTTTTCGGAGTTAGCTCTGAAAGCTTTGTAAGAATCCAGCAATGAACTCTGTTATTCCTGGGCTTTTCTTCTCTGCAAGGCATTTATTTGTAGTTGAATCTTATTGCTTTCTATGAATATGTTTATAATTGTTGATTTCTGTGCTGGTTCACATTGTAGAGCCACTGGGGAAGAGGGACCCTCAAGAGAAGGATTATCACTATAAGACTGGCCTGTGGGCTGGTCTGTGAGGCATTTTATTGATTGATGGCTGATATGGAAGGGCCCAGCCCTTTGTGGGTGGTACTAGGAAAAGAATTTCAGTGGTTAGGAGCGCTAGGTGTTTTTCTAGAGAAACTGGGTTTTATTCCCATCATCCATACGATGGATCTCAATTGTCTGTAACTCCAGTTCAAGGGGATCAGATGCCTTCTCCCCTCAATATGTACTAGGTGTGCACTTGGTTTATGGACATAAATGCATGCAGACAAAACACCTATACACATAAAATAAATATTTTTAGGAATAAAAAATAAAAGCTGAGCAACGATGGAGAGAAAGCCACTAAGCAACCAATCATTATTAAGGTGTGTGTGTGTGTGTGTGTGTGTGTGTGTGTATAAATAATTGTGTCATTAGGAACAATAAGGTGGCTTGGCAACCTGCCTAGAGCATGATGACCTGACTTATGCATATCTCTGGAAAACACATGCTCACAGGAGAGAACTAACTCCTGCAAGTTGTCTTCTGATCTCCCCATATCTGGCCCCCATACATGAATGTATACTCAAAAACATGTCCACGAAATAATAAAAATATAATTAAAATTGAGTTATTAATTAAGAAAAATGTTTTTGTTTTAATGGTAATAAATCGATTCATATCTATCTAGGAATAATTGATGTAGATAGAATACTTCATAGTACTTAAGTACTTTACGTTAGACAGACTGCCTACTCTCTAAGGGTATGAACCTCCGTTAGTGAGATAAAGTCAAATATCATGAAAAATTGCAGAAAGCAACATAGGGCATCCTCTAGCATTTTCTCATTATGTGAAGGAGCATTGTATGTTCCTCAGGGACCTGAGAGAAGATACAAGAACCACCAAGAGATTGCATGATAGTGGAAAAGGAACCCTCCATAGCATGATAAGACAGTGAGAAGGAAGAGGAGGTTGTGCATCATAAGCATATGATCATGAAGTCCAGACTGAAGTCAGTGTGGCTCGTTTTCTACAGCATTCTCTTACGGATCAAAGATCACACGTATTTTCATTGTTCCTTTTCCCTGTAGTAAGGAAAGTGTGCTAGTCCAGTCAAACCTTTCAGGTTAGGTTTCGATCCCCGTGTAGGAATAGTTTGTGTCTCAGACTGATTCCTGCTAGTCATGCTCCCTAGTTCAGATGAATAAGATATTTATTTTGATGACAAATTGTTTTTGTTTCCATTAGAATTTGTTCATTACCTTTTTCAGTGCCCGTGACAAATCAAGAAACAAAGAAAGAAAAATTACTTTATCATTCCATAATTTCAATTCTTGTATTTTTAGGGCATAGCTTTCCATCTCATCCCACTGCTACATGCTCCATATGCTAATTAATACAACTTCTTTAGGCTTATGAATCTATACTTTTACAATTCCATTGATAACTAGTTGTACTCCCCTTTATCTGTAGCTTTTAATAGAGCCACATTTAGGAAATATTCTGATTACTATTCGTCTATGATGCATAGGCTCCCTAAATTCATATATGAAGCAGTTCAGTTAAGCAGTTATGAGTCACCAATGGATCTCCAGAATGCCATGGAGAAGAGAGGAGTAGAGGTAAGGAGAAGGTAAGATGGTGTTCAGATGCAGCTAGTTAAACAAAAATTGAGATAAAAATCAAAGTATCACAAGTTTTGTATTCATTCCTCAATTGAGGGACATCTGGGTTGTTTCCAGATTCTGGCTATTACAAATAAAGCTGCTACAAACATGGTTGAGCAAATGTCCTTGTTGTATACTTGAGCATCTTTTATATGTATGTCTAGGAGTGGTATAACTGAATCTTGAGGAAGCACTATTCCTAATTGTTGGAGAAAGTGTCAGTTTGATTTCCACAGTGGTTGTACAAGTTTTCATTCCCACCAGCAGGGTAGAAGGGTTCTGCTTTCTCCAAATCCTCTCCAACATGTGTTGTCACTTGAGAATGGAATATTACTCAGCAATAAAAAACAAGGCAATCATGAAATTTGCAGAAAAATGGTAGGAACTGGAAAAGATCATCCTAAGTGAGGTATCCCAGAAGTAGAAAGATACACAGGGTATATACTCACTCATAAGTGGATATTAGATGTATAATATAGAATAAACATACTAAAATCTGTACACCTAAAGAAACTAATCAATAAGGAGGACTCTGGCCAAGATGCTCAATCCCCATTCAGAAAGGCAAAGAGGATGGACATCAGAAGAGGGAGAAAACGGAACAGGACAGGAGCTTACCACAGAGGGTCTCTGAAAGGCTTTATCCTGTGGGGACTCAGAGCAGATGCTGAGACTTATAGCAAAACTTTGGTTGGAGTGCAGGGAATCTTATGAAAGAAGGGGAACATGAAGAAAAACCTGGAGAGGACAGGAGCTCCACAAAGAGAGTAACACAACCAAAAAAAATCTATGCACAAGGGTCTGTTCTCAGACTGATACTCCAACCAAGGACCATTCATGGAAATAACCTAGGACCCCTTCACAGATGTAACCCATGGCAACTCAGTGTCCAAGTGGGTTCCATAGTAATGGGAACAGGGACTGTTTCTGACATAAACTGATTGGCCTGCTTTTTGATCATCTCCTCCTGAGGGGGGAGCAGCCATACTAGGTCACAGAGGAAGACAATGCAGCCACTCCTGATGAGACCTGAAAGGCTAGGATCAGAAGGAAGGAGAGGAGGACCTCCCCTATCAGTGGACTTGAGGAGGGCCATGAGTGAAAAAGGGGAAAGGAGGGTGGGATTGGGAGGGGAGGAAGGAGGGAGTTACAGGGGGATACAAAACAAATAAACTTTAATTTATAAAATAAAATTTTAAAAGAATTTTTAAAAAATAAAAGTATCAAGATATGATTTCAAAATTCCATTTCCTTCCAACTCTAAGATAGTATTGTTAAAAACAATTATATTTTTAAAGTTCACATTAGGTTAATATTTTGATTTAACATTTCTCCTAAGTCATGGTATTAAAAATTATTTATCAGAATTAAGAAATAGTCCCTTTGCACATTGACAAGTACATTATTTATAGCCATAATTAATCATGATAGTAAATATGACTAAAAAACTCATAATAAAATAATAGGAAATCAATTGAGAAACTTTATTGATTAAAATTGTCAAGTGTATGGCAATATAGTTAGATGCTTAGAAATCATGCCTATATATATATATATATATATATATATATATATATATATATATATATATTTACTTTTATTCATGTGTTTATGTGTGTGCCATAAGTCTTCATTGCCCATGGAAATCAGAAAATGGCATTAATTCCGCTGGATATGGAGGAATAGATTGATGTAAGCTGCCTGATGTGGGTTCTAGGAACAAAGCTTGGGCCCTCCACAAGAACAGCGAATGTGTGACACCACTGCCGGGTATTTAGATCCTGATTTCCTTTTTAAATTAAGGTAATTTGTTACCATTTTTTCATTCCTCATTTTAAAACATATCCTAAATATGATTATTGGTTATTTTAAGTTCTATAATTATGGGTTGAAGACTCTAAGTCAGAATAATATTGGGCATAGCTGTTAAAAGCATAATTTTCACGAAACAAATTCTTTTCATGAAAAGATTACCCTACAGTCTTCTTTATGATTTGAGGTAGGTGAATTTCTGAGGCTGAAGTGTCCTGAAAAGCTTACTTCTCCTTAAGTGTGAGGATGGCAAAGAAATGATCCAGCTCCAAAACAGTTCTTAACCAGCCTAAGCATTTGGAAATGGTGTTTGTCCGGGCAGAACTAATTCAGAAAAAAAAAAATTGTGCAGAGTGACATTCATTACAAGCATCCCTATGTGTCACTGGGATAGTTTTATTATTGATAATGTGATCATTGACAGTGGCCATGA